CCTGCACGCGCGGCAAATTGGATTCAGGTGTCTGCGTTTCTCCCCCCTCAAAAGTGGGTATTTTCCCCAGCAATTCTGTCGCCGAGCTCTCTGGCCTCCTAGGTTTTAGGAATTCACTTCCCCTCAAGATGAATTTTTTCCTGGAGAAATGCGCCTCTGGTGGGGCTGACCCTTGTCCTAGTCAAAACCGAACGGCAGAGGAGGCAAAACCTGTCGTAAAGTACTTCAGACACTCCTAAAATGCTAGCGTATGCTGCGAAATGCGGAAAATATGACATATGGAAGCCCTTTTTCAACAGAAGCATTTTTTTAATTCACTGCCACTCTTAAGGAAAAAGGAAAAAAAAAGCTGTCCAGAGTACTGACTCGCAGCATGAAGTCACAGTAGTGACATAAAGTGCTGGCATCTTTATCGCACATAGAGTCACTATAGAAATTATGAGTAAGTCTAACACAAGTAGCATAACTCTGCAACTTACAGGTGTATATCAGGAACTGCTATCACATTCACAGCAGACCTGGATAAAGATAAGAATGAAATCAGACCAATATTTACAGAAACACCTATGCATAAGTGTCTTGAATATATGAACAGTATATTTTGGCACATAAAAGTGACACATAACAGTGTAAGTCACTAACTCAGAACTTTGCAATAAAACACAACTTAGATTGTAACAGTAAATACCCAGCAACTCAGTGAAATTGGGTATTTACTACTACGGTTAAACTGAAATAATATTTTAAAAGGTAAAATCAAATAAAATTACTGGCATTTACTGACAGGTCAGAAATGACCAGACAACTAGACACGGTCTGCACCAAAACTTTTGCAGGCTGTCATTAAACACTCCTCTTGTCAGTATTTGGATTCAGCTCTGGAAAACCAGCAGCCAAAGTGCAGGAGGGGAAAAAAAAAGAGGTTAAAATTGTTAATCCAGAAAAAAAGTTTTAAAACACAGCTATGATCTGAAGAGATACCCAGGACAGAAGTAGAGTTGCATGGAGCATCTAAGTGCTGCACAGCCTGTAACAGGACAAGTGGACAGGATGGGAGAAAGCTCCTCTGAACCACTGCAGGGAAAATCACTACGTGATTATTTTTCCTCTCTTTCAGAGCTGACTTTTGTCAACTCACCTCCAGTACACCTTTATCTCTGAATGCCATCCTTCCCTTTACTTTTTATTTTATTAGTGGGACAATGCAAGTACTTTTTGCAGATCGGGGTGGTTGGGGACAGCTGAAGTCGCTGGCAGGTTGGACTCGTTCCACGTAACACTCAAGGGACACAGTGCTCGAGTGAAGTGCCTGTCATGGTCTGGTAGTACTGCAAAAGCCTCTTCTACCACAAACTATATCTTCAGATCATTTTCTTTCTTTCTTTCTTCTTTTTTTTTCTTAAAAAAAAAAGCATTTAAGAAAGTACCAGACTCAAAACACTCTGAAGTCTCCCCTATGTAAAACAGACAGAGCACTAACCACCCATCTCCCCTGCTGACCTGTTTGCTGGCTATTCTAGTCCTTTTTCCTTATCATGGTGACTCTGGTGAATTAATTGCAGACTTACATTATGCAAAGAATCCAGCCCAATCCATAAATTCAGCAATTAACTAGTCATTGTTTATCCTGTCTCACTGGAGGCTGTCGACAATATCTGCTTAGAGCACTTTTTTGTTTGTTCTTTTAGTTTAAGTGAACAGTTGTCCCCTACAGGCAAGCAGGACGACTGACTCTGGGGAATTGTAGTTTGCAGAATGGCCAACTGCTATTTCTAGATTGAAGATAGCAAAACCGATGAGAAGTGAAGTCATTTCTTAACTAATCTAATCTTGAGAAAAGAAAATCAGTTGATAGCAGCCTTCAATTGATATGAAGGTATCAAAAAAAATAAACACCAATCATATCCCTTTTGTGGACGGAATCATAATCTCTTTTCACCTTTTCCAAATGCCTTTTAGCTCCTCTGGGATAAAAGGAAGTCAGTGGAGTCTTCACTATTAATTTCAGTCTAGCCAAGGTTCCCTTTTTGAATTATATATGACAACTACTCAAGCCATAAGGCTGTTCAGTTAAAGAAATGGAAATATAAGATCTACATGTGATCATTTCGAAGATATTTAGGCTGAGTTTCTATTCTATTGTTTTTTTTATAAACACTTGAAAAAGTAGTCAATATTATAATAAATATAAAGTATGCAGCTGATAGGGACACCAACACTTGAAGAAAAGGAAGATGACAACTTAATCACCGTTGAATTATTGTTTAAATACCATTATAATAAAAACAACATGGAAGACAGTATAATTATTTACTGTATACAGCATAAATAGCTTGTACTTCATTTTTCACATAATTTTAGATTTTTAGTTCTTTCCAGTCACCTGAAGTGACTGGCATTTTCTGTCTACAATAAAGAAAGAACAATGTGATGATAATAGAAGGGCTATTTGACATTAAGCCTGTAAAAACAACGCTTCAAACTTTGTTCTTGCAAAATAGATCCAGATAAGAGAGCTCCTTACTGTGGACAGTTCTAAACCTCCTGTTATCTTACAGGCAGAACCCAAATGCACTGAGTACAGCAGTGATATCAAAACACATCTGCAGTCAGGGCAGTATGACATTTTAGGCCAGTTGTACCAAATATGCATGGTTGGAATACCTTTATTTTTCTATATCCAGGCTTAGTACATTTCCTTCTGCCTCCTCATTTGTGTGTAAATTAGTGGTTGACAGCAAATTTGCAAAAGAGTGTTAAATGCAAGAAGAACCTACTCCAATGTGAGTTAATGCTGTTTTGCGCCTCATCCCCCGTGTGAAAGCTACAGAGCTGTAGCAGGGTGCAAGGTGGTCACGGCTGGCAGCGGTCCAGATGAGAACATAAAGGTAAGGTGACATGAAACATGAGTTAATACCAGCCGGGGCCACCGCTAGCTTGTAGATCCCATTTGCCATCGCTGCCATTGAGCTCGTTTTAAAGACTGCAACCTGCAAGAGAACACTGAGCCAGGAGAAAATTAAAATATATTATGTGTGGGTTCAGGAAAGCTGTGGAGAGGAAGTACGCTGAGAATAAGAACCATGCCATGAACTTTTGAATGTAATTCTTTTGGGAAGGAACAGGTGAAGCAAAGCTGAGGCTGAACTAATGAGCCCGATATAACAGGTGGGAAAGAACAAGCAACTAACGGGAAAAAGTCTGTGTGTCGTGAGAACACAAGTAGTAGTGTTTACACAGGAGGTTTTATTCAATAATGAGAAAGGGAGAATAGGCAAGTTAGAGCCTTACTAGGGAAAGGGGGAAGATTTTGAACTGCCTTTTTTTTTTTTTTTTGTCTTATGTTTATCTGCTTACTATGAACTCAGAGTGGTGGGAATAAGGCAAGAAGGATTTGCTCAAGGCATTAAAGGTTTTGTAAAGGACAGATTAAGTAACAATGCTCACACACACAAAAAAAATCAATTTTGAGGAGCTTATGAAGCCTACAATGGGCTTTTGTAGCAGAGAAGTGAGATTGAAATTTTACTGAACCTGTCAATTATTTGGGTTTACAGCTTTCAGCAAATTTCAGGAAAAAGAGAAAACAAAAGCAAAGGAAGCAATGCACATTCACACACTAATCAAATAAAGACCACGTGGAAGTGCAACCCAGATTACTGAGTTCCTTAATTCATGTAAAAGTATAAGGTTTCCCTCCTTCCCCTGAGCTTTAGCCAGGCCTGTGATTGAATTCACACAGCTGTTCCTGGCCAGGAAGTTTTTCCTAAAACCTGGCTTCCCAGGCACTGTTTTCACACAAATTTTGTTTAATGTTGTATCAGACCACCTGGAAAAGGAAAAAAAAAAAAAAAAAGGAAATCTGCAGAATTCCTCAGTGATTCACATCTGATGTGTGTGACCTGGTTTTATTTCAGGAGAACAGACACATAAACAGCAAAACACAACGATGGAGCTCAGAGAGCAAAACATCCAGTTAGATCCTCTGACCATCAGAGATTTGAAAATACGGAGGAAGTTGAAGCCAGTTGTGAAATTCTGTATGTTGTAAAAATGATTCTGTTAAACTTGGAAGCACCAGCATTCGCACCGAGGTTTGCCCAAATGCACTTGAAAAGTGGAATGATGCAGCCCCCTGGCTGTTGGGAGAGGCAATTCATGCTCCTAGAGCAAACTAAATTCCCAGCCAAATTCTCTAGCCGAAGAGCATATAGTCAGCAAAGAGGCTCAATGTACAGTAGATAGGAAAAACTTAAAAAAAAAAGGAACATCAAGTGTATTAATATGAATTACTCGTAATTCATGTCTTCTAGGTTCACAAAATCTAGAACAATACAACCAAGTGCTAGAAATGGCATCGTTCAAAACTTCAATATCAGTCCTGTGCTGGTGACCTGAACCTTTAATGTGCCAAGGGCATTGGCAACTAATGTAATTTAACCAGTATCATAATTCGGTCTGTTATTTTGTATATGCACGTGGCAACCTTCATTTCATCTTTTTGAATTTCCATGAATTCCTTAACTGCAGGGCAGGAATCCCTATCTCCTACTATTGAACATTGAAGTCAGATTCTTTGACATCTCCAGGAAAAACTTATGTTAAAAAATAAAACAAAAACACAAAAACAAACAAACAAAAAACAGACAGAATGAATACATTGGATCTCCTATTTGCATACTGCTTGGCTTAAATATAAGTTTATTTTTTTCTC